ATAATTCAGATTTCTTAGTTTTCCCAATGTCTCTTTATTTATAGAATCAACTTCAAATTCACAGAAGTCAGAAACATCAAAAAAGGAGTTATTTGGCTGGCGAGATAGCTCAGCAGACTGAAGTGCCTGCTTAGGCTAGCACAGGACCTCAGTTCGATCCCTGGCACAAACATGCTATGCCAGTCCCATCCCCAGAGCAGGCTGAGCCAGCCAGAGTTTGGGCATGGTGGCACACACCTGTAATCCCAGTGCTGGGGGAGCTGAGAGCAGGAGGATCACTATGAGTCTGAGGCGCAACCGAATACCTCCCCACCCCCAAAAAAAGAGCTATTGACAGAAACATTTAAATACAAAGTAGCTACATTTGCTTTTTAAAGCCCCTTATTAGATTTTCTTCCCTTAAGCATTTCAATCTTTAAATCAAAAAAGAGTATCCTCAGGGCTGGAGAGATAGCTTCACAGTCTAAGCACCTGTCTGGCAAGCGCAAGGACCTTGGTTCAGTCCCTACTACCATATGTCGTACCAGCCACCGAAACCAGATATGGTGGTGCATACCTCCTAGCACTGGGGGAGGCTGAGACAGCAGGATCACTACAAGTCTGACTGTGTAGCAAGATCCTGTACCAAATAAATAGATAAATATATATTTTTTAAAAAAGAGCAACCTCAAGTACAGTGAAGGTCTGTAATTGGAGTTTGTTTATACTAATGAGAGTCACAGTATAATAGTCTGGACTTCTCAGATTATTCCAGCAACACAGATTTATGATAACCAATAACTTGTAATACTGTCAAAGCAAAAATATGAGATATCCTAGTTGTAAGACTGCTGTGCAGGAGCGAGACAGCTTACTAATGAGAAAGTTAGGTCATCTCAACTCACCTTTATTATAATCTACTCTCCAGACCTGCTGTGAATTCTACACATGCGAGATGCACCAAGGTATCAGGATTTACCACTTCTTTTTTTTTTAAAGAGGAAAAGAAAATACAAATTCAAAACAAGATAGTAGGAAGGTAACATTGGTTAATAAATAGTATATTGTTATCTTTAAATTAGTTACTCAGAGTACATGATATCAGTATTTAATTGGCACAAACTTTTCTTTTCAATGAACTAAGAGAAATTAAATTTACTGCACTTATTAATTCTAAATAACTCTTCTATGCCATAAGACAACATTCATTATGATGGGTTACTATAAAATAAACTGACAAAGACAATCAGTTTGCACCCCCAGTCATAAATTTATGGAAGACAGCTGTTCCCATACCTGCCCTTCAGGTTCTCAAGTTCCCTGTGATGTAACATGCTCCGCATGTGCTCGTCCATCTCCTTCAAAATCAAAAAAAGCAGATTAAATTAAGGGATACTGCTTTGTGGGAGAGAAAAAAAGGAAACTCTTTCACTTTGTCCAATCAATAATTAAGGATCGGGGCTGGTGAGATGGCTCAGTGGTCTAAAGCACCTACTTAGAACAAGCTTAGCAAAGCCCAGGGACCACGGTTCAATCCCCTAGCACCACATGCCAGTCAGCCCGCCCCCTGGTGGGCTGAGCTGGCCACACACACACAAATAAATAAATAAAATTTAAAAAAAAAATTAAGGATCAAATTCCCTGTGCTTATTTGTGATTTTATTTATTTATTTTTTTAAATTTTTTTTTGCGGAACTGGGGATTGAACTCAGGCCCTTGTGCTTGCCAGGGAAGCGCTTATTCTACTAAGCCATCCCTCCGGCCCTATGATTATTCTTAATTCAAGATTGACATCAGTTTTTATGAAATAATTATTTGGCTATGTTTTTACATTTTTTTTGTTTTTTGTTTTTTTGTTTTTTGAGATAGGGTATTTTTAGGGAGGTATTTTCACCTCCCAGACTGGCATTACATGATTGGGCTACTACACCTGGACATATTTCACTTTTAAATAAAAAGAATTCTTAGGTATAGTTAAGTGGCTTTCCAAAATGGTTATAAAGTTACCTTCAGGAGGCAAAAGACTTAAGAATAAATTATGTATGCTAAATTCTATCCTGTTGTAAAGAATTCAGTGGAAGTTCATTTTATGTTTTTTTTTTTGTTGTTGTTCCTCGAATGCCTTCAGGGCACTTTTGGCCAGTGGGAGAGTTGTGAGGTTTGAACTCCAGCCACCTGAGACAACGTGAAGATTTACCCAATCTTTTCCTTTTTTTTTTTTGGCAGAACCGGGGATTGAACTCAGGTCCTTGCACTTGCCAGGGAAGCGCTTATTCCACTGAGCCATCTCCCCGGCCCCAGAAGTTCATTTTAAAAAACCTCTCAACCAGGCAGTGCCCAACCCTGTAATCCCAGCTACTTAAAGACTTTTGTACAAAGATTGCACCATGTCAAGGCCAGGCTAGGCAACTGAACAAACCATCATCTCAAAATAAAATATAAAATATAAAATATAAAAGGCTGCAGCTCAGTATGGCACTTGCCTAGTATTCCACAGGCCTTTGTTCAATCCCCAGCAAAGGAGGGGCACCTTTGCTACTTGGGTTGTCAGTTTTTGAAGACAGGGTCTTGCTTTGTAATGCAAAACTGACCTTGCCCTTACTATATAGTGGGGGTTGGCCTCAAATTCTCAGTGATCATCCTCTCTCAGCATTCCCTGCCTCAGCCTTCAAGTGGTGGGATTATATATGCACCACCATGCCTGCAGCTATTCTGCTTTTATCTACTCTTTCTCTACTCAATGAAGCTTTCTCAAGTGTAAACCACAGCTCTTACTCATGGTTTGACAGAATCTGACATGTAGTTTTTAATAAATAATTGTTGCATGAATATAGATGGCTACATCCATTCTAGATAGCAAGGAGTCTCTTTATAGTAGATTGGGAAGCTTTAAAAATACATCAACTTGGCATGATAGTGTATGCCTATAACCACCGCATTCTGGGAGGTTAAGCCAGGAGAACTGCGAGTTCGAGTATAGTCCCGGTAACTTACAGATTTAGTGAGATCTTGCATCAAAATTTAAAAAAAGGACTTGCAGCTCTCAGCCAGGCAGTGCCCAACCCTGTAATCCCAGCTACTTAAAGACTTCTGTACACCATGTCAAGGCCAGGCTAGGCAACTGTAAAAGCTCTGGGTTCAACCCCCAGGACCCCAAATAAAACAAAAACAAAAACAGCAAAACCTCAGGGCCAAGGAGATAGCTTGGCTGCTTAAATGCCTGCCTGGCAAGCACAAGGTTGAGAGTTCAATACACAGTGACACCAATCACCCCCCAAAAAAGTGAAACCTTGAACAGGGGAGCTCAATTACTGCTTTCTTTTTACTGCCACTTCCCCTCTTCCTCTAATTAGTTTGTTTGGGTCTAATGAAAAGTTTGAACAGTTACTAAGTCCCCCACCTGTACCCTTCCACCTTACATTTAATGGGAAGAAAATAAAATCTGTGAAAAAGGCATCATTTAAAAATATGCAAATACACAAATGCACACATATACATACACACAGACATTCAAAATACAAAGATGAGTAAATGTCTATCCTTCAAAATACAAAGATGGGTAAATGTCTATCTTGCCATCATGCCAAAGTACATACTGCCAGCATCCCCTAGGGTAGTGGTGGCAAACCTGTGGCATGTGTGCCACAGTAGGCTATTTGTATAACTGAAAGCTCTAAAAGTCTTACTATTACTGTCTTAGAGAATGGTTATTTACCTATATAATACTAAAGGTTTAAGCTCTCTGGGAGGACAAGACAGAAGGATTGCAAACTCAAGCCCAGGCACTTTAGACTATAGGCACTTTATTGACTAAAGACCCTGAGACCCTGTTTCAAAACACTGGCCAGAGGCTGGGTGTGATGATGCACACCCTGATA